TATACATAAATAAAATATGAGGGTAAATCTTAATATATACAGACTGTTAATGACCTATCTCTATTATATCACTTCTATATATTTTTGGACCAATCTAATATCTCCATCTGTATAAAGAAAATTAATCTTACAGAAAACAATTGATATGCTAACTTTAACAAAAATAAATATATATTTAAATTGTCCTTTCGTGCTTATCTGCTTATAATTTTGCTTATCTTAATTTATAATTACACTACTTTTTGTGCCAGCGGTGGCGGGTTTGAGTTCCGCTGGGGGCATTCAACTCTGTGAAGACCACGAATGTTTGTACTCCAGTCATAGGTGGTTATATTTATATTATGTATATGTATCTAAAGTTATATATGTGCAGTGTATCATCTATCTGATATCCATAATACAGGCCTCGTAGCTTGTCATGGAACTAGATGGTGCTGTGTGCTAATGTCCCAACATATTTATATTAATTATGTATATAAATTTATTTCATGTACATATTTTGAGGTTTCTAAGCGCTGTTATATAAAAGATATTGCATTACGTTTGTGGAAATTAAATGGTAGATATAAACGGGTGAGACCACAACAAATAATTAGTGCCAATTCGTAGATAGCGTTGTATTTTATACACAATTTGCGATAATGTCCGAAGTATCTCATAGCAATAATAACTGATAATGTGATTTACATACACCAGTTCACTTGTGATAGCTCCTTTGTTTAAATTTTTAATATTATTCAATTATAAATATCTTTTTTGGTCATGTCAATTAAATATTTATATTTTTTTCTTTCTAAAGTAATTCTCTGGTAACGTAATAACAAATATTTTAAGCTTTAATTTGTTTTATATTAAGATTTATCTAGATACAAACGTTTGACGACACGTTTGGCTCAGTTTGTAGTGATTTACTTGCTGCGCCAGCGGTCGTGGGTTTGAGTCCCGCTGGGGGCATTCATTTGTGTGATGATCACGAATGTTTGTACTCCAGTCATGGGTGTTTATATTTATAATATATATGTATTTAAAGTTATATATGTGTAGTGTATCAACTATCTGGTATCCATAACACAAGTCTCGTAGCTTACCATGGAACTAGATGGTGCTGTGTGTTAATGTCCCAACATATTTATTTATTATTTCCATAAGACTTCATTAAAGTTGAAGACTACCGAAAGTACAAAAATATGTGTATTAAAATTTTAAATGTCATGTTTGTCGGTTAAGGTGAAATTGACTAAAGCTAAGTTAAATAAAAATCGGACAAGCGTTAGTCTGACTTGTGCATCGAAGGTTTCATATCACCAACCGTTGAAGTGTTGTTTTTTAGTTTGTGAGATTAAAATGTAAAAAAAATGTTACATAAGTGTAATATTTATTGAATCAACTGTCTGTAAAGCATTCGAAACGTCAAAACTAAAAATCAAAATAAATTCGCGAAAAAATCCAAAAAGGTATTTAAAAATTCAAATATTCGCGTAAATCTAGTATGTAGGTATTTTGTTAAATACATATATTATATAGGAATTTGTTGTTGATAAAAATGTAGATAATTTTATTCGCATGTGGGATAACTATTATGTAGCATTATAATACTATAAGTTAATATTTAAAAGTGCAACTGCTGAGTTTTTCGCCGTCCCTTTTCAGCAAAACTGCTTCCTGAGCTGGTGGCTTCCTCGCGTACTGGTTACACTGACTCTCTTTAAATTAAATTGATAATTGAAAAGTTCTTGAACAAGCCTAGTTTAATAAAGTTACCTTTGATTTTGATTACAAATAATAACTAGACCAAATTATTGCAGATAAGGGCTCAAAATGTTGACAGCCCATATGGGTAATAAGATTTTTTGAAATCACGCCATATGAATGAATTTTTAGTTTTTTTGAAGAGACCTAAAATACCGTATTATTCGATTTACCTAAAGATAACTAAATTTAAGGCTTAAAATATATATTACGTTTTATATTGCGTAAATTTAAATGAACTGAGAAGTATAAAGTACATTTTATATATACGGCAAAGCAGCTTAAATATGCTGAAGCTTGTTATTATATAACACAAGTTGTGAATTAAAGTAAAAGCTTAGCTAGCCATTTAAGTTTAAGCAATTAAGAGTGTATTTCTCTGTTGTTAATTCTTTTAAAGCTTTTTTATATTTTAATACTAGCAACTCATCGCTTCGTTCGAGCTTATCCCTAGGTAGGTTAGATAGACTATATATATATATATATATATATATATATATAATCTATCTAGCCTATCCAAAAGCCTTCCTCAATAAATGGGCTATTTAATGCAAAATAAATTTTTCAAATCGAATGAGTAGTTTCTGAGATTAGCGCGTTCAAACAAACAAACTCTGCCTATTTATAATATTAGTATAGATAAGCTTTATTATATTTGTAAATAAAATGTTATCTACAATATTAAATATTTTTCATATGATAAGTTCATCTGTAATGTTTTCTTTCCGAACTGGTGGTAAACGTTCAGTAAAAAAATATAAAAACTTAATGCTGAAATATTTTGATTTTTGATTCGTTTTGTACAACTTACATTTCTACAAAAGGTATTTTATTAAGTAGCAGAAGAAAATATATATATGTTGACCATACGTAGTGTGGAATGATATGAAATAACAAGATAAAGCTGTTACAATAGTAAATCTGTACTGTAACTTAAGAAAATTTTAGTTTTATGAAAAAATATCAAACCAGGAGACAAACAAAGAAAGAAAAAAAACAAAAAAGTAACATCAGGTGATAAGAGGCTCTGAGATATGTGGTCCGTGTTCTTTAATTTGTTTATTATATGAGTGATAACATTTTGTTGTTGTTGATTAAATACAGTAGATATGAATTATATTGACAGAACTCGCCAGAGTGTAGCGAGACTCTTCGCGGTGTAAACGATATACATTTTGTAATAGTTTAATCAAAGCTTTTTCTGTGATAATAAAGTTTTGCCAGGTAAGATATAATTTATTAGATAAATGTCTAAATGACTTAAAAATGGTCAATGGCTCACTATGTTAATGAAAAGTGGCATTTAAAATTTTAGAAACAAAAATTTACTTTGCAAATTAAAAGTAATATTTATATTTACAAGTAAGTAAAATAAATTACATATATTTTCATAATTTATTTTTATTATAAATAGCACTTGACGTGTTACACAAAATTATTCATTCTAAAAATATTAGTTTTATGTCTAAAATGGGCCTCCAAACTTAAATTTTAAGTTTGAGGATTGCCATTGTAACGACAATCCAAACATTTTTAAAGTTCAGGATTGAACCCACTACGGCTGAGGTTAGTTTAGTGACCAGTACACAAATATAACCATGTAAAAGCAAATATATATTTTAGGCCGGATATTGAATCAAAATGGTTTCATTTCTCGTTACAGGAAAATGCAAGGCTATCAATGTTTATTAGTTTTAGGACATATTGATCGATTAACAGATAAAATATGTTATCCATCATCTGAATTATTATAAATTGTAACAAAAGTGACAATTTTCAAGAAGTAAGGGCGACCGAACTTCGCTCGGAGTGTTTAGCCAAAAGTATAATTCTCTTTCTTTAATAAAAAAACTAAAACTATAAAAAAAAACAATAGTAAAAACTTTGTATCCGATCGGGATTCAAACCCGGACATGTGTGTAATTATCTAAATTTCTCCAGCCACTTAAGCGTGAAGGAGTAAAGAATGCGGGCAAAAATTGACAATTTTTTAATAGTATTCCGATTGAAAAATAGCATTTTTGAAATTCATTTTTAAACAAAGAGTTCCTTAACAATTTTAAATAGTACGCTAATACTGAAGCTGAATAAAGCCACACGAATTAATGCCTTATCTTTAACCTTTATAAAAGCTTTTAAAAATATATTTGTAAAAGAATAACTCTCATATCTGTAGTTACATTTAAGACTTCTCTGTCGCTCTCATACAAAATATTTATTCGCGTCAGGGAGCCATTACAAACAGCCATTTTCGTCTGGCTTTTTTGCAAACATTTTTAATATTAATTAATAAATATACCATAAAAGTTAAGTAATAAAACAAAATATTAAAATGAATTTAAGTTGCCTAAAGGATATTTTTCTTATAATTTTCAAACGTCATATGATGCGTAGTTGAAAAATAACTACAAACCCCGCTCACGATTCTCCATTCCATATTCCCTACATCGTAAATTAACTGTTTATAATTTGAAAATACCTTCCCAAAATTTGTTATCAGCTCTTGGACTATAAGCCGTTTCTCTTATGAATCTATTTTCTAGAATAACATTTATTTCCGTACCGTTTTATTTCCGAACTATTATTACCGTTACCGTTTACTCCACACATACACGTGCACCCGCATTCAAAAAAATTAAAACATACCTAGGGACGAACCCGAGCAAAGCGAGGGTAAGTCGCTAGTTCTCTTAATATTTGAAAACCAACATTAATATGGATGTATCTATTAGCAGGTTCGTCCTGTCATCGATTTAAATATAAATTACATACTAAAAAAACATTACGATTGATTATTATGATTACGAATGAAAACTTATATTAAATTGTACTTTGTATTAATTACTAAGACTGGGTTCACACGGCATTGTCCTGCAAGTTTTTTTGCAGTATACGTCTTAACGAATACATAGTGGCACATACATTGTATATAGAACCGTTCACACGTCTTTTATACTGCAAAAAATCGTACATCGTTTATACGTTTAACCAAATACTCACCGGACTTGTCAAGTAAATCGAATGAACTTAAACGTATTTCGATCCATCACTGACGTTTTCTCACTGTGACAACGTGCGAGAACTGCAGGTATTCATTTTAACACGAATGAAAATCTACCGTGTATATATATACTATACCGTATACCCGGCTGATTGTACGTTTAAAATCGAATACAAAAAAATCGTGCAGGACAATGCCGTGTGAACCCAGAGTAACATGTTTGTTTCAATATATAATCTTTGTTTCCAGTATGGAGGTCGCTGCTCTACTATTCGGTGTAACAGTGTTTATTCTGACGCTACTTTACTTAGAATATTTACGGCTGCAGAACTATTGGCTTGATCGCAATGTATTATGTGAACAGCCGCATCCTGTTATGGGCAGTCTCACGTTCTTAAGTAAAATAAATCCTGTAAGTATTTTTTCATTACTACCCTCTCATGTGTGAGTGCTTCCACTATAGAGGAAGAGTGAGTTGGCGTAACTCGAAGAATGCACAGTCATGATCACTTGATACATTTAGCACAGAAATTAATGTTCATGTTATATCACATTATGTTAAAATAATGTGTATGTTTCTTTATCCAACAACGTTGTTGTTAGTAGTTCACAAATTGACGTAATTTTGGACAGAGATTCTTTATAAGTCCGAGAGAGACACACATATTTATCCTTATTTTTAGTATTTTAGAATTTTACCTGTAATAATAATAATATTTACTTATTCTATTTTCAGGGAACATGGATGCGCAAAATGTATTCAGAGTATAAATCATCCTATTTAGGCATCTGGCTATTTTGGAGGCCAGCTCTTATTGTCAATTCGCCGGAAATCGCGCGCAAAATCTTGTCAACAGATTCTTCAGTATTTAAAGATCGGTTCGCGAGTTGTAGCAGCAATGATCACATTGGCAAGTTGAGCTTGTTTAATGCCAAGGTAATACAATTATATTATCAGTGCTTTGAAAGTTGTCTTAACTTTTATTATTAATGGATTTCTATATAGTCATACTTTAAACAAAATCAGTTCAACTGTTTCTAACGTAAGGGTAGATTGATAATAGATAATGAGAGAATATATTTTGTCATAGGAGCCTGAATGGGGAAATTTACGGCGTCGTTTGACGGTTCCTTTAAGTGAAGTTAGGCTAAGGGCGATGGATGACTTTGTGCTTTCTAAAGCTAAAGAGCTACAGCAGAGGATAAAAAAGGAACAGGATAATCCAGTAGACATTACGGTAAGACTATACTTTTGCGGTAAATGAATGCGTAAAATTAGTTTAAAACTAATAAAATTCATCCAAAGTCTTAATTGACTAAGCAACAGTAACATTCTTAACTATAAAGATTTTTCAAAAAATATATCTGTTTAGGAATTATACGCTGACTTCGCTACTGATATTATTGGTACAACCACACTAGGAGTGCCTTGCAACGCGACGCTAACTGGACAAAATCCTTTACGAAGCATTAATAAGAACTTTGGTGACTTTAGCTCTTGGGGAGGTCTACCATGGTGTTGCATATTCTTTTTCCCGAAATTAGCTAATATTTTTGGGTAAGTAAACTATAATTTTTCAATATATGTATATATATATATATATATATATATATATATATATATAATTTTGTAATCTAGGTCCGCAACCTTATTATACAATATACATAATATTGATATGATAACAAAAGTAAATCTTACATCATTATATAAAAAAGTAATACTCTGCTATTTAACCATGTTTGCTCAATATTACTCTTTTTGCTTTTAAGTTCAAATTTTTACTGTATATTTTGAGTTTATGGAGCAAAACTATGACTTGTAAATATGTAGGTCTAGTGTGAATGACATCGATCAATAACCAATACATTTTCAATTTATTTTCAGATCCAAATTATTTTCAAAATCAGCTACAGATTACGTAAGAAAGATAATAAAACCAGTAATTGCCGAAAGAGAAGCAAATAACGAACATACCAAAGGTAAAGACTTGCTTGACGCTTTGGTGAAAATCAAGAACAATAACGAAGTCAAAGATCCAGGTAACATTTAAAGATAAATTGTTTTATGTTATTTGGGCGTTAAGACTTAATACATTCACACTCTAAATTAGTAATGTGAGTTTGTTATATAGAGTTAATACTAGTGCTCTTTTATCATACCCATAGACAAATTTGGAGCAATATTTTTAACATTTGGCCAAAGGTTCCTAAAAATCCCTAAGGTTTTTAGTACACCAAAATCGTCCTATAATGATTCACCAAATTCTTTATCATGTTTCAGCTGCTTGATTCTTAGAGAAAGAACGAGTCTTATAACCATTACTTTTTCAGCTTATCTTGAAAATTTAGTGGTTGCTTCCGCGGCTACATTTTTGTCTGGAATTATCACATCAGGCAGTATTCTTGCTCATGCGACATATGAATTGGCCCATCATCCTGAGTTACAGGTACGGATATTTAGTATAAGTATGGAAAGAGAACTCTTACATTAATCTCTTTATCCCTTATTTATTTCAGTTTTATCATTATCCCACTAAATTGATCCTTTTTTGAGGTGTTATTAATCTTCAAATGTCTATTTTGTTCTTGTCATGCTCAATTTTCAAATTTGATGATCGATTTTTTATTGTCTTACTGTTATTTGATTTATTACGTATTGAAAAAAAATATGAAACAAATATTTCTTGTGACAATGCAATATTATGATCCTTCTACGTCTCCAATATTACAGACCTTTGTTAACGTAATATTTTAATTTTTTAGGAAAAATTATTTCAAGAATTACTAGGAGCAAAGCAGAAATATGGAAATGAGAATTTTAATTCCGAATCTCTTTCCCAATTAACATATCTTAACTGCATTATCAAAGGTATTTTATAATATAATATCATTATATTACTAAAACATAGTATCTATCAAACAAAATTTTCAAAAGATAAACAATACACAAACTAAACACTAAATATTAAATTGATACAAAAAAAGGAAAAAATAAAAACTTTTTAACAAAAAAATAAAAACCAACTTCAATAAAAGCACTAAATAGTAAAAAATAACTGATTGGTAGTTTTCATTTACTATACATACCTAATAAAATATATTCGAAGTCGGTGTGCTTTGCTTTGTATTGTCTGGTTGGGTTATTATAACATTTATTCATAAAACAAAATAAAATATAAACAGGTTATTAGATTAGGTTACCAGAAGTAAAAATAAATTTGTTACATTTTTATTGATTACATCAATAACATAGTGTCTCGATTATAGAGGAAAAATGGATTGGAGAGCGTAATTAAACTCTTAAGCTAATGGCAGTTTAATGTATCTAAATTTAATTCCTAAAATGCAATAGTTGTATAAAACATTCACTTTTTCTAAGAAAAAATATTACATTTTTAGAGGCTCTTCGCAAATATCCAACGGTTAGTTGGTTGGACAGGGTCGCCTCTGTTGATTATAAGATAGATGACGATTTGACAATCCAAGCGGGCACACCTGTGTATATCAACGGGATTGGCATGCATTTCGACAAACACTACTTTCCAGACCCTAATAAATTCGACCCCAACAGATTTCTACCTGAAAATGAAGCAAAAATTGTACCTTATTCTTATTTACCTTTTGGAGAAGGTCTGAGAATGTGCATTGGTAAGTAATATTGTTTATTGGTTTATATTATTATGCACAAAGCCTAACAAACTTAGTTTTTTTTTGTCTATGGCAAAGTTAGTTGTAAGGACTGAACTAGCTATATGTATAACTAGCGACTCACCCTCGCTCCGCTCGGGTTCGTCTCTAGTCACGTTTTAATGTTTAGTACAGATTTCTCACAGATGAGATATTATTACGCAGTAAAAAGTATTCTATATTATGTTGACTCGGATAACAGTTATCATCATACCGGATTTCATAAAAATCTGTCCACTGGTTTTCTCGTGATGCGGTCACAGACAGACAGACAAAAATTCTAAAAACTATACATTCGGCCCCTGTATCGATAATAATGACTATATCAATAAGATTTTTCAAAAAATATTTAATGTACAGATTCGACTCAGTTAGAATTTTATTATATGTATAGATGTATATACATATTAGGTATAGTTATCCAGATACTCCTAAGCTATGAGAGAAGTTAATTGAATATTATAAAGCCTTACCTGTGACTGTGTTTGCTTATTTCTTCTTCACTTTGTAACAACGTAATGGATTCGACTAATATTCAAATTAAATGAATGCCACTTTTTATCGACACACCATACGAGTGGAGCCACGGGCAACAACTAGTAAAAGTCTATTTGTTAGATATCATTAATCACCAACGCAAAAACTACGGGGTGTTATAAGTTTGACGTGTCTGTGGCGTAGTTCCGTAGCTCCTGAATGGATGAACCGATTTTGGTTTTCTTTTTTTTTTAATTGAAAAGTCAATTAGACGGGAGTGTTCTTAGCTCTTAGCTATGTAAGGGCTTGATTAGTAGAATACTATACACTATGATAAATTTCAAATGAACGATGTCCGCCACCACAAAATGGCAAATTACATGTCGGAGTATTTTTAATTTAATTTAGTTATTTTATAGGCCATGGTCGAGTAACATGTTATGCTCATATTTAAATCAATTTCAAGCAATTTTATTAATTAAATTTGTTCATTCTGTAGTTATTTTAATAGCTGAAGCTTTATTATTTAATACTATTGTTATTTGATACAACATACTTTTGGTGTTGCTATACTTTTAAGATTTTTTTTACTATTTCTAGGTTCAAAATTTGCTATGACGATTGTACGTAACGCCTTGGCTTCAGTGTTCTTAAATTACAAAGTGGAGCCTGTTTCTGGCGCACCCAAACCTCAAGACATCGAGATCGCAGCATCTACAATATTTTACGTGCCTAGTAGGCCACTTCAAGTGAAATTTATATCGAGGACTTAATATAAGTAGGAAGTATGTGCTATTGTTATTAATATACGAGTATAAATATTCTTATTGTTATTGTTTTTTTTAATATTTAATTAACATATAATTAATTTTAATTACATAATTTTAATTACATAATTTTATTAACCAGAAAAAAAACTTTGCCATTTTTTTTCCTATTTTATAAGTTTTTATTTAACTTGCAATGTTTGTGCGTATAAATATTTGGTATAGGTTAAATCTTAATGGTTGAATTAGAATCACATCGCCTTATCCTTTAGAGTTAATATTTTACATGTTGGTTCAGTTCTGATGATATTTAGGATCAGATTCTCCATCTAGGATTGGAAACGGTCAAAAGTACAGACACGAAATGTTTTTATTGTTGATTTTTAATTTAACTATTGCTAAATTGCTAAAACAAATATAGGCATGGACTTAAAATAAAACTTGCAATATTTTTGCTTTCTTATAGTTTTAGATATCAAATATAGATAAGTTAGTTTTTATGAGACAATTGATATATCAAAACTATTGACAAAGTGCGAAACAAGTATTCTTTTCGCATCAAATTCCCTGTACGGAGGAAGCTGAATATTTTAGATGTCAAGGATTTATCTAACACGAGGACTCAAACTCTTGAGATCCTCGTAAACTACCCTCTTTTCCTCCCTGCCTCTGTACCAAAACTGAGTTACGTCTGACGTGCCTGCTTACAACTGAAACGAATCTAGAGTATCTGCATACATTGCGGTATCAATACGATATTCGGAGCATTACACTTTCGTGAGAATACAGTGATTCAGCAATGTAAAACACTGAAAAGTCGTATTAGTGGATGAATACGTCAAAATTGGTCTCAGTACCGGGGAAACCGGGGGCCGTATATGTTTTAAGGCGAGTGCTCATTGAATTTCATAAGACGGGATTACAAGACGCCGCTTGTTGGAAAGTTTCGTCGATGGCTGCATCCTGTTTGTGTAATAGATTTTCACACCACGAAGCCGATTTTGAACATACACATGTTATTTTTGGGACGTCTTGAACAAAGTTGGCATGTTCTTTAAAAAGAGCAATGGGATCTAACTTATCTTTACTTAACAAAATTTTATTTATTTATCTTGCGTAATTATTGTGGATAAAATATTTCAGACATTGAGTATATACATATAAACTTAAGAAATATCTTAAGAAATACACGTATCTTCTATATCATGTTATCAAAATATAGGTTTGTAGTTTTGGCTGTTACAATTTACTAAAACTGCACAATGAACGATTTACTTTTTGTTCTCAATAAGACTCATCCGTATAAATATTGGAAGAGCCAATGCAAATAATTGAACTATTACTTTAAATATGATTATTTATGTGTGTATGTTCGTTACTCCGTCTAACGCCTGAACGGATTTAGATGAATATTAGTACATAGATAACCTACGACTTGGAATACCACATTGCCTACTATTAGACACCCGAGGACATACAAGAACAAATCGAGGACAAGCCGCTAGTTATTGACACGAAATTGATCTCGTGAACTCTGGCATAATAAACAATGCCATTGTATCAAACAACCATCGATCGTAATTAATGTATTTATTTTAATTTATGGTTATTGTTCATATTAACAATATTATAATAGATAATTATAATTTTTAATTGCAACAGCTTTAATTAAATTGTATTTAATAGGCTACTATTGACTGCATGTGCTATTTAAATACTTATCACTAATCCTACTAACATTGTAAATGCGAAACAAACTTTGAGGATGTATGTATGTTTGTTTATTACTATTTCACTCAAAAACTACTGAATGGATTTTAATGGATACTCACACGTATACAGGCTACTTTTTATCTCGGAAAATATACGGTTTTCGTGGGATAGATTTATGTTTGCCTTTCTAGAGACGAACCCGAGATCTTTAGGAAACCTAAAACTTGAAATAAGTTCAAAATTTACAATATTATACATGTAACACTTTATTTAGCAAAACTTAGTAATAATCGAAGTAACAGTTTGAAGATGGGGAGCCCTGAGTAAACTTGCAGCGGTTAGAGGATCACCACAACGCGAATATTTAGTGAGTTCAACTAACTTACTGTTCACTCGATTGAAATGTGCGGGTATTGTGTTCAGCACTTCGAAAGTTACTGTACTAATATTGTTGAGCGGCTTACTTTGGCGGATGATGCAGCTTCCACTCCTAGATACGGCTAATAATCTTTGTATCAAGTTGTTTTAGCCAAGGACCTTCTACAATATTCTTCTACCTGTTTGTGGTCGGCACAGTTTCCTCCATTCATTTCTATAATTCGTCATATAAAAGTACAACATCCCTCACTCCCCCCTATTTATTAATATTTTTATACAAATCATAGTGCGAGGACGACATTCTTATTCATCTTTTTTAGAATTTCCTACAATCTTTAATAGAAATGAGTGTTAAAAGGAGCTTTAAGCCTAAAAAATTATGCAAAATCGTGGTGATTGCTCTCGTAAAAGAAGTATAAAGCAAGAACATATAACACTTATGACTTTGTAAAACAAATAGAATACTAAGGTTTTCAACTTATTTCCAAACCATTTAATGAGATTTTCGTCCTCAATTCAAATACGTTGTTATATCCCTCGCGGGGCGTCAGGGCAACTTTTAATTACATTTTGAATAGGTATATTGTCATGGCATGAATTGCTTTTTAACCGACTTCAAAAAAAGAGGCGATTTCAAATAAATTTTCCTTTTTTTTATAAATTAATATTTTACAGAAGACGAAAGTTAAGTATAAATTACAAAAAGAAAAAGTAAAATAAATACTTCTCTATTGATTTTGAAGCCTGTGTTTTCAACATTCTAATTATATAAAGCTCATAATGGTATTTATACGTACATAAAGCAGGTATGAAAGAAGAATGGCTTAATAGATTGTAATAGAACTATCTCTGACGGATACGTTAAGGTGTTAGTGTGAAGTTACAGACAAAAGCTCGTTAAACTTATTACTAAAATCATAAATAACAAAATTAGTGCCAATTTTTGGATGTTTGTTAATCATTGAACAAATTTGATGAAACTTGAAAATTAGATAGATATAATAAGTAACGCTGGATTATTAGTTAATTTTATTCAAACAAAACTTTACTTCTGGACTTATCAGCAAATGGTCCAGTCAAGCAACATTAAAAAAGCATTGTGCAAGAGATTAGATCTCTTTTGTGGTATAGTTCTTATAGCTTAGTAATAATATTCTATATTCGCAGCATTAACGCATTTAATAACCTGATCTTGTTAAGATAAAATGCGGTTTGGAAAATGCTAGCTAATATGTATTATTTTAATAATAAAAAATCGAAATAGAAAAAAATCTCCACATATTCTTACTTACTACTTTTCAAGGTAATTTAAATTATAAAACTACTATCTACTCACTCTCGCTTCGCTCTGGTTCGCCCCTAGATTGCTTCCCAATACAAAATTTCATCCCCATTTTCACTCCCTTGAGGATACTTTTTATTCCGAAAATGATCCCGATTTTCGGAATAAAAATTATCCTATATCGTTCCCAGGGTCATCTAAATCAAATTTCATCTAAATCGGTATATCCAGAGATTAGCCCCTGCAACCTCACAAACTCACAAACTTTACCTCTTTATAATATTAGTATAGATAACATGTCAGAGCTAGTAATAATAATAATAAAGCTTTATTTAATTAATAAGTTATTAATAATTAAATTTGAAAATTATTTCATGGCAAGCTACGAGGTCTGTGTTAAGGATACGTTATAGAGTTTTAGTTTCTATTTTTTTTGCTGGCTTTCTGGGGTGTCCTGATGTTATTTAAGTCCAGCAACAAAATTCATGCCATCGTTTTGATAAAAAACCTACATGTTAAGATAGCATGAATACGGCTACAGGTCTCCAGGTCTAGCCAATTCTAGGGTTTTTTCAGATTTTCTTACATTACTTGTCAGCAACAAATACTGATGTATAAATGCATTTAATCCATGCCGGTCCCGTGAGTTTACTGCTAGCTTAACGTTAAGATAACAGTTACTCTTTTTTTTGCAATCGGACGAATAATTAGCAACAAATTAGCCACAAAATACCATGTATGTTTCGATCGATCCTGCTAACCTTTCACTGCTATCTTAACACACCTACATCTTTAAATACATACATATTATTATAAATATAAATACCCATGACTGGAGTACAAAGATTCGTGCTCATCCCACTAATGAACGCCAGCCCAGCGGGGCTAGAACCCGCGACCGCTGGCACAGCAAGTATGGTCACTACAAACTGAGCCAAACGTTCGTCAAATGTTTTGTATTGATTTCTTTCGGGTAAAAGCTTGCTCTTTTTAGGGTAAGCTTTTACCCATTAGAGCTTACTTATTTCAGAACTACCCTATTGTCATTATATTTACTATAACTTTAATGACATCTTACGTGTTAAGCATGACTTGACTGTATAACTTTGTTAATAAAGGCTCTAACAACTTCCTCAAATGACAGTAAAGGCCCTAATATGAAACATCAACTACACTTGAAGTTAATATTCCATGTACATAGCTAGTAACTTCCTTATTGGTGAAGTGGCTAGCATGTACGGCTGCACATCTTGAGGTCCTGGGTTCGAGTCCTGGGGCGGTCAAATTTAGTTAATGACTATTTCTGTTAAAAAAAGTCCCAGTAACAGCCCGGAATTGGAAAGTTGGTGGTATTTCACCTCCGTGAATCGAAGAACACGTAAAGCTCTCTCACTATCTGCGCGTACTAATATCTATCTATTTAATTATTTTTTATTTATTTTTATTAGGGAAACAAGCAGTGCTTACAAATGTTTATTCAATAGCTTATATAAGCGGCTCATAGACCAATAAAGTTTCCACTGATCAAATCGAGCGGTGAAGTTGACAGTTACAAAAAATTTACAAATTAAACTTAAACCATTACAAAAATTAACTAATTAAGTACATATATGATACAAAACATTATAAA